CCCCCCCCCCCCCCCCCCATGCCCCCTTATCCACCTCCTTAAGGGCCAACAGGACACAATGAAGCTGACAGAGCCACCTAGTTAACATGTTTGACACTGCAGCCAAACATGCCCTGCCTCCTGACACAACCCAGCTACACCTCGATAAGGATTTCAATACGAGATGTTAATCTTATGATGCCTTGATGAGCTGCAGCGTGGTAAACTCGAGGGAAACCATCAACGACATACATGATTTTTCCATGACCCCCCCATTTTAGGTCGCGGTGCAAGGAACCATGCTTGCCGTTGTGGCTGACGTGAACCGAGGCTTTCCGTTCAGCTCAACACTGCAACTCTACAAGCTACTTGGAGGTTCATGGGTAGTTATAGTGGGGTTATCAGTCCCCGAGTATGGGTTATAATTATAGTTACCCTACTTATAACCCTACTTATAACTACCCATGAACCTGCAAGTAGAGCCATGCCCACCTCTGCAGACATCAAGCCTTAGAGCCTCAACCGTTTGGTTCTTGAAACGTACATGCAGCCCAGGCAGTTTCCATCCGAAGCGTTCCGTTTTGAGATCTTTCCAGGGTTGCCTCGGATGTCATTGCAGCTTCTGGTTTCAGGCAGACACCAGCTCCACTCGGAGCCTCAGTCAGAGCCTGCACTCCAAAACCTGAAACTCCAAACCCAAAACTCCAACAACCCCAAAACCCCAAACCCGAAATCCTCAAATCGACTCAAGCCTAAAGCCCAAACCCTAAACCGCCGAACCCTAAACCGTGGACCCCGGCCGGGCTCACAGAGGGCCGGGCCTTCCTCTCATCCTCCGATTCGAAGATGGGCGATCCGAGGCTGTGAATCCGAGAGCCTTGGCTGCTTGGAGGTTCAACCTGACACACAATATTTTTTTGTTTTATAGGAGGAAGAAGAAGATAATAGCAATAATAAGGAGAATAATAATAATCATAATAATAATAGTAATAATATTAATGGGTAACAATATTGCCAATAATAATGGAAGTAACAATGGGTACCAATAATACTAATAATAATGGAAATAATAATAGGTAATACTAACAATGATGGAAATAAGAATGGGTAACAATAATACCAATAATAATGGAAATAGTGATAGGTACCAATAATGCTAATAATAATGCAAATAATAATGGGTAGCAATAATACCAATACTCATGGAAATCATAATGGGTAACAATAACGCTAATAATGATGGAAATAATAATGACAATAAGAAGAAGAAGGTGCTGCCCGACAGACGACGAAGTTTGGTTTTGCAAGCAGAACCCTGAATCCACTCAGGAAGGCAAGAGTACCTGTGCTGCTTCGCCGAAGCTCAGGGCACTGGCTGTGAGGGAGCCGCCGGGAATGGCAGGTTTAGGGTTCGATTCTAACTAAAACCTTGTTGAACCCGACACCTTCAAGCCAAGGACTCTGATCCTGGTATGTGCCCCGCAGGAAGTCTTCGAGACACGGTGGGCGCAGGGCCTCGCCCTGGAGCACCACCTTCCTGCCCCAGGGCACTAGCATAGGGAAGCCCTCTATGCCCTGCGATTGCTAACGTCTGCAGAGCTGCATGCAGAACACTGAACCCCGAACTCCCTAAACCCAAACCCCAAAACCCCAAACTCTCTAAACCCCTAACCCTAAAACCTCAAACCCCAAACCCTAAAACCCCAAACTCCCTAAATCCCAAACCCGAAAACCCCAAACTCCCCAAACCCCAAACTCTAAACCCCCAAGCTCCCTAAACCCCAAACCCTAAACCATGTTGTTGTTTCTATCAAGGCTTCGGCTTGGGAGGTTGGAGGTCTACGATGTGAATGGACCTTTGCCCACGTCTCAGTCCAGTAACACTGACATACTTGGAGGTTCATGGGTAGTTACAAGGCTCCTTTAAGGGATCTATAAGGGGGTCCTATAAGGGGTCTATAAGGGGTCATACTTGGAGGTTCATGGGTAGTTATACGTGGGGTTATAAGTCCCCTAACATGGGTTATAATTCTAGTTACCCTACCTATAACCCTACTTATAACTACCCGTAACTACCCCATGAACCTCCAAGCACCCTTCGTGCTTCTGAGCGGAGATACCGAACTTATAGGGCGATGGACATGAGCTTTCGATTCCAAGGTCACGCGCAACAAAGGCGTCAGGAGTCGGGACTTGGAGTTCAGCTAAATGCAGGCCAGCACTGAGAATCTAGGGGCCTTACTGATTAGAATAGGGTTTTGGGCTCCCTTATGGTATAACCATAAGAAGGAACCCCGAAAATAATATCCCTACATTACTCCACCCAGCTCCCCATCATCGGCTCCGCAGACTGGAAGTTTCTCCACCTCAGACCCATCAAAACCTCCAAGCCCCAAGCCCCGAAGCGGAATTGAGCCCAACACCTAAACCCTAAACCCCAAGGCGTCCCAAAACCCAGCGGCCTAACCCGAAACCCTGAAGCCCCAAACTTCAAGCTTCAAGGCGTCCCAACACCCAGCGGCCTAACCCGAAACCCCTAAACCCCGAAACCCCACTTGGAGGTTCATGGGTAGTTAGAAGTGGGGTTATAAGTCCCCTAATATGGGTTATAATTATAGTTACCCTACTGATAACCCTACTTATAACTACCCATGAACCTCCAAGCAGGGCGTCCGAAAACCCAGCGGCTTGCCTTTCGAGCATCTCTTCGAATGCGCCCTGGATCTCCTTTCGCTTCAGAGTCCGGAAGGCCTTGATGGCCGGACTTGGTGGGTTTAGGGTTTAGAGGGTTTAGGGCTTAGAGGGTTTAGAGGGTTTAGGGCTTAGAGGGTTTAGAGGGTTTAGGGTTTAGGGTTTAGGGTTTAGGGTTTGGGGTTTCGGCTTTGGGGTTTAGGGCCTAATTCTCATGGGGCTTTGGGGGTTTTGGGTCTAGGGCTTAGGCTGTTTATTCCATTCAGGGGCCTCTAGAGGCCGAAGGCTGAAGCCTTAGGGTTTAGGGTTTAGGGTTTAGGGAGTGCCCAGGGCATGCAGTAGGGATAACGGCTTCACCGCTGGAGAGGCACATGGAACTGCGGTCGAAACCCTCAGTCGTAGGATCCGAAGTGGGTAGTTGTCAAAATTATGGTCCCTTTTGGGGTACCCTAAATAATAGGTGCCGTATTATAATAACGATCCAAAGGGGGACCATAATTTTGACAACCACACAAGTAGAAGGACCCTGCAAGTTTGTGAGGTACGCCTCAGCTTAAGAGACCCCCCCCCCCCCACAATAACCTGCAGCCCTTTACGACAACTGCGTACCTATGTTGAGCTGAGTGGCTCCACTGGATGCCGCCAACAAGCCGGTGAGTTGGAAAGCCTGTTGGTCCGACCGGATGCCTCAACAAAATCGCGGGATTCAGCACAAAGGGGTGGGAATTGCAAAGCCGGCTCTTGTTTAAACCTTCGTCTAAGCACTTCCTGCCACTCCTATTGCGCCTCGAGCCCGTCGAAACTCCCCCAGACCCTGAACCCTACACTGCACTGCTACTCTGGCGTTCTAGACGAAGGTTTCCAGTCGGGCTTTTCGGGTGGCTCAAGTCTGGCCTGGGTTAGACATGAAACCACTCGGATCGTCTAACCCGAAATTCAGGAAGACGCCCTAGTTCATACTCGGAATCCTACCAGATTTTAAGGTATATCCCTCATTTATCATTCAGGCGTATTGCGAGATCTGGGCACCCGACAAAGAGCTCTACTTCCGCGGCGTCACTTCGGGAGCGGTTGCTGCACGAGTCGAGGTTGGTGCGGGCTGAAACGGGAATTTCAGAGTCAGGGGACCTAAGGTAGAAGTCTTAACAATAGGATCCTTATCATAGGACCCTCAAATATCGCACCCTGATTTCAAACTCCCAAATGGGAATCAGGAAAGCTCATGGCGATGTACCAGCCAACACGAGCCAAAAGCGCAATAATAATTTCAAGGCCTGGGAGAAACTCTTTGGCGATGAGTAAGGGGAGCTCGGCAGAAGCGCAGGGCGTGAGCACCTGAGTCCAGCAGGCAACCCTTGGAGATAGGCCAACCCGTACGCACCTCTCTTATTATGCCTGACGCCCATATCAACAAAGGGGACTTCAACAATTAGAAGGATTTTGGGCTGATGACTGTCAAAGGGAGAACTGAATACTCCCTTGTTGTACTTCTCACTACGACTTCGCGCACACACACACACACATGCATGTGCATCTGCATAAATATATGCGAGGCATATGCTCTGCTTGTTCGCGTGTGTGTGTGTGTGTGTGTGTGGGCATGTGAGAGTGAGGGAGAGGGAGACAGAGAGAGAGAGAGAGAGAGAGAGAGAGAAAGAGAGAGAGAGAGTGTGTGTGTGTGTGTGTGTGGGTGGGTGTGGGTGGGTGGGCGGGGGCTGGTAGCGAGCATGAGCACCCTGGCATTGATAGGGATGTAGATTCAGGAGATGTTCGCCCAACATGATATGCTGGATCTCCAAGTCAAGATGGACTCAGATTTCAGATTGGGGTCGTGCCATCGCCCAGCAAGCTTAGTCAAGCCACGAAAAAGAGCACGAGGAGACCAGCGCTCCTTCGTCGACTGCTTCCTTCGCTGCTTCGGACATATGAGTTTTGGAGGCGGATGTTTGGGCTTTTCGGGCTGGGATACAGCGTTCTTCCATGAGTCTTGCCCTCAGAGACATCCAGAGTTAATCAAGAAACGGAAAACCATCTGCCCGATGCTGGGATGATTCCAACTTACAGCAAGAGCCAATACTACACTGGCTTTTCGACATGCGCCATGCGGATTTCTTGGAATTGCAGGTCCGACAAAAAGCTCGGTAGCAATGTTGCATACGTAAGCATCAACACGTGACCGCCTCGATGTTGAAGGCCCCAAACAATGAAAAGCACCCAAACAAATCTGTGGTCTACTTCCGCGCCTTCAAAGGAATCGAGCTTTAAGCCAACATCTGCATCCCATCTGACAATCTAGGAGCCAACCCATGCTTGAACTTCCAGACAAGGGGCGTGGCATCGTTGGTGCTGTCCCCAAGAGCAGAGTCGCATCAGGGCCCGGCGCGAAGGGAGTCGTCGGTTTTGGGGCATCTGGGGCCTAAAGACAAGATTTATGGCATGATATTTTGGCATGCGCTTGAGAAGCCGTAACTGCCGTTTGGGGCTTCGAGGGCTCGATATGTTTATGTGAGTGTGTATGTGTATGTAAAGGGTTTGGGTTTGCAGGGAACAACCTCCAGCAACGGAAACACAGTCTGGGGCCGTGCGCTTCTTTTGCAGGTACCTTGATTACTGCAATTGTTGGTGGAATGAAGCCTCGAAAGCCGGAGCTGCAATGGCCCATGCAAAGGCGGGTGGTGAAGCCAGGTCTAGGGCTGCTAGGCTTCGGGTGCGGGAAGAGGCATAAGTCAGGTCTCCACACCAGATGCCTCCGAAAGCTCTTCTTCAAGCTGCCACCGACCATACTGCTTCAAGCCGGAGTCCTAAATTCCAAAAGCGACATGACACACAGACTCTAATTTGAATACCACGTGGTGAAAATCAAGCCTAGCTCAAAGGGTCAAGAGAGAGTCTGAGGACAGTCGTTCCCAGGTTTCTGACTCCGGACAATGACAAGGGTAGCCTGCGCCAGAGGCATCAAAACTGTTTGGGATGCTGGTCACATGTTTTTGCAGCGCCGCAGCCGTTTTCCAGCGTCCAAGTCGGAGTTCGCACTTCTTAGAAGTGGACCCCGAGCACAGAGCACAAGCATGTTTGTCCTGAAGCACCCGCAACCCCATGATATGTCAAGAGGATATAGGCTGATATGGAACACATAGAATGACGTCTCTAAGTTTACTAGATCTATCATATAGGGTGATGTTTTCGAGTTCAAAATAGTAAAACTTCGAACCAAGGCCGGTAGAACCCCCAACTCTTGTCGGCCAAAAGCTACTCTGGGTTCTTGAGCTATGAGCGAAACACATCCACACATCAGGAGGATACTGTGTTTGCACTCAACATGGGCGCACTGCTTGTGAGCCACGATTTTCTAGACCTTGGTCAGGAAACAGGTCTTGGATGTGTAGAGAAGGTCGAGTTCATGGTTTTGCCGATTGTGAGCCAAGCAGATACTGGTCCTACTTGTGCCTCAGCCACGACCACCACCACCACCACTACGACGACGACGACGGCAGCGACGACTACGAATGCCACCACCACCACCACCACCACCACTACTACTACTGCTACTACTGCTACTGCTACTGCTACTACTGCACTACCAGGGAATTCCACCACTTCTTTCAGCAAGATCAGCTCCTAATCTGCGGCAAGTACGGTCGTGACGACGGCGATGGCGACGATGCCGTGCCGACGAAGACGAACGATGGCTGCGGCACCGGCGGCGGCGACAAATATTCGTGCAACATAACTGCTCCATCGCCTGCGAAGAACTTCAATGCATGCAGCATGCCCTCTTTCCAGAATCGCCGGCACGCTCTGTACACAGATACAGCTTCCGATTGTAGTACTTCGAGTTACTTCGAGCGGCTGAGTGTCAGAAGAATGATGCAAGTTTGGGAATAAACTCCATGAACAATCACAGTGAAACTCACAACCACATTACCAACTGAAGGTTCATGAGCAGCTCTGAGCAAGACTATGAAGAGGAGTGCACAGCCCGGGCCGCAACCGCAGTTTTGTGAGACCTGTACTCCAAATCGTGTACACCCACGAGAGTACCTGTACTATCATGTTTTTCCATTGGGTTCCTTTAGGGTTTAGGGTTTATTACACTTTTATTGTAACAACCAAGGCCTGACCCCCAGCTTGGGCCGCTCGCTGAGACAGACCATGCGACGGATGCTGCGGAATGAAGGCACGGGAGTTGGTGATCATCCTCAGCACAGGTCAGTTTCTGGAGGTTTCGAACGGGTTTCGCCTCTAACGACTAGAGGGGCCAAATCTCCGGTCCAGAGATGTCCAAGATTCCTTCTGCGAGCGCCCAGTATGTAGCAACCTCCGGTGTAAAAGGTCACTTACCCTAACCCCCCAGGTACCTACTATATAGGGTACTAGAGCCCCTGGGGCCCTATATAGTAGGTACCTGGGGGGTTAGGGTTAAAGCCGAATCTGGCCAGGACCTTCGAATCCTTGTTCCAAAACCGCCAATCCCCAAAACCCGGAACGACTGAACACCTCCGCAACAACAGAGTCTGAGCCCGTTGCGGCTCGGAGAAGAAGAAATACTTCTCTGCCTGCAAACACAAGGCCGGGGCGTTGAGTGAATACGGGAGCTTGAGTCTGACTAAACGTGAGACTTGAGCTTCGGAGCCTTCGGATTGCAGGGTCTCTGGAAACACTCGGCGGTTTGTGCATTACTCTCGATTATCACGTTCTGTTTGCACTAGTCGTATAGCAGCAACACCACCACCACCAGAAGGACGAAGTCGCCGTCGTACAACCGCCGATGCTCTCCCTTCGAAGGGCGCAACCGGGACTCGCATTGCAGTGCTTGCCTTGTCGGAAGCTGCCGCCTGAAACTCCTGCCAGAAGCAGATTGCAGTTTAGGGTTTCGACCCCCCAAACTGGCAAAATTTTCGCTTGGGTTTGCAGACTTCCCGGTGGCTCCAAGATAGAGATCGGTAGCAAGGCTCATCGGCTACTAGCTCGACTTTCCAGCCCCGCAAAGTTGACATCTAGAGCACCGTTCGGCTGCCAGTGCTCACCGGCAGCACCTCCGGAGCAACTTCTCCCGGCTGAGGCGCCGGAATCTTTGCGTGGGTCACCTGGGAAGCTGGAAGGTGTAGCTTTGGATCTTCATGTCACTGAGTCAAGGCACGAAGCAAGAACAACAGAAGGCAAAGAATCACGAGCCCAAACTGCATTCACCTCGGAATTCCGACTCTTGCAGGGATCCTTGAGGTGTTACTGCAGGCATTCATTCCCATCTTCCTGACCCTGAACCCCAGCCCCTGAAAATGTGGTCGACATGCTCATGGTTTGAGCAAGTATCCAAGAGCTGGGTGACAACTCTTAGATATTCGTTCTTCGAAGAACCTTGCTACTATGTTGCACCTATATTTAAGTAGTGAAGTTAGTAACTATAACTGGTAGCTATGACTATCCGTCCTTAAGTATAACACCAAGGGATGTACTCACTAAGTCCTACGATCCTCTGGGTACCTCATTGATTACTTCATTTGGGCAGAGAAACGCAATGAGAAACTCAGGGCCACGCTCCTGCCATGGAGAAGTGGTGATACTGCGGTACAGGGAAAGTCGGACGCTGAAACAACGCCGCCTCTCAGGGTCCGGGACTTTTGGGGTGTAGGGATATGGTGGGATTTTGGGGTTTAGGGATATGGTGGGATTTGGGGGTTTAGGGATATGGTGGGATGTTGGGGTTTAGGGATATGGTATTTCGGCGGATGTCGACGTTTCGAATTTGAGGTTGCGCTGGCCAGGCAACGGAGGGATTAGTTAGGTCCAAACGAAATACGTAGCACGTCCTAAAGCTCGCGTGCGAGTCGTGATGTAAGCTTATGATCTGCAGCATGTCATCTCGCTAGAAAGAACCTTGTTCTCACACCCAGTAACCCCCTGCATTGACAAAATTGACAAGGGGTGCCCACCTCCCCCGAACTGCCATGAAAAAGCCACTTATGGATCCCTTATGGGCTCATGGCACAGATTCTGCAACCTGGGACTGCCACAATCGTAGCCTCCAGCTCCACTGATTTCTGTAGGCCGGCTTCATCGGTCAAGCTAGTGTCTGAAAATACAGTAGGTTTAGAGTTTAGGGTTTAGGGTTTTTCTTTAAGGTTTAGGGTTTAGGATATAGGGTTAAGGATTTAGGGTGTAGTAGAACAGGATTTGGGTTCACACTCTATGGCAGCTACAGCTACACACGAGGGATTTCGAGAGAGAAAGTCTGTTTATTCTGTGGCGGGAAGCACTCTAGTAAGTGGAAACAGAGACGCAAGCGAGGACAATTTATTTAGGAAAGCTGAACTTGCATCGATTGAGAAATCTATAGCTGTTGTCATCTATGTGCACATCTAGTATGCCAACTCCGCCCCCTATTCCGACGCCGACGCCCGGACTAACCTGAACTCATTCCTCCAACAGACTACCCGGAGATTAGACCAAGACCTCTCGACAATGACCGCGTAATCCTGTGACCTCTGCTTGTGCCCTAACCCTAAACCCTAAACCCTATAAACCCTAAACCGCTTCACAGGCCGAGCCTCCCAAGACATCATCGGATCACTGCCCTTTGCGGGGTACGTCGGCCGCTGCGCAGCCTGGGGGATCACGACTTCAGTTAAATTCTGACGACCAGAATCAGAAAAAGGATACCGGAACAGTCATCCTGTGGCACATCATGACATGTGTCACGGCTGTGAAACCTCGGCACGTTCCCTACTGTATGAGCCCAACTGGGTGTCGAAGAAGCGACGTGTGCTGAAGGTGATTTGGTAAGATGTCAACAGAATGATGTAAGCCGTTTCAGTGGAGGCCTCAAGTTTCAGGCATGGTGCCGTTGGAACGCGAAGTCCGGAATCAGGGAGATTTGGTTCTTCACATGAGCTTTGCTCTTCACTGTCACTTCAACGCTAGGGCCGCTGTGTGCCTGTGAGGTTTCTTGCCGGGGCGAAACTGCCAGGTTGAACGTTTTAACTTTCGCACCGCTTCAATCGGATTCCAGGGTTAAAGCCATCGATACGAAGGCAAGAAACGCACTGCACAGAGGCCCATCTGTTTTTTGTTTGATTTCAGGGGCAAAGACTCCACACAGCACAGTCTGGCTCTGTGTAGGTCTGCAGGCCTCTGCATTCCAAGGTTGTGAAGATCTATATTTATGGGATGAAAGTTTGATGTGCGCAGCGCGTCTGAATGCAAGAAGGGGCTTGCTATGCTGAATACAGACAACTCGGACGTGCGATGCAGCGTGCGTCGATGGAAGGCGCACCCGGCAGTCCGTTACCCCATGATCTGCTTCGGATTTGCTCGCGGACTCTAGAAATGGATCCTAAATCGATTTGCCGCAAGCAGCCATCCATAAGGTGATCCAAAGCAGCATATTGTACACGAACATGCTGGCAGTGCCAACTTTTCTGTAACCTTCAACCGCGCCGTGACAATTACAGAAATTGCTAACCCTATGTCGTAGTTCCCAAGACGAATACAAAAAGCATATCGGACGATCACGGTGATCAACGGCAAACTGGGTACCAAAAAACAAAGCGAGGCCTTAAAAGTGCTTGAGGTCCTCACCGGGCCATCCGTTGACATAGACCTCCAAAGTGCAGGGGCATCCAACACCCCACTGCACACATGTTTGAAATAGATTTCATGCACAACGTACACATGTAACACACACACACATATACATATATATGTATACGATATACATATATATATATATAAAGGTTCTCGGTCATGTACTTGTTAATAGCACTGACGCTGAACATGTTCTGCCCAGCATTCCCTGATCTTGCAACCCCAAGGCTGGAACCCGAAACCCCGTGGCTGTCCGACACAGTACCCCTTAGGGGGTTTCGGCGCTCACACTCGGCCAAACCAGGCGAAGCATGTGGTTCGAGTCAGCAACGTGAAACAAAGCACCAGATCAACATTTAGGTGCCAGCTTTTAGTACATTCCTCGACATCGCAAAAAGAACTCCAGCCCGAACCAAAGCCTCCTCATAGACTCGAGCTGTTCCCTGTACGATGTCCTGTACTCACAACCATCTGGCGATCGAAACGAATCAACTCCGTGAAACTTGAAGCCCACACCTCTTTCGATCACTCCTTGGGCCCCGACGGCTCAACGTAACGTAAGCCTCAATCGTTTGCCGGGCTCTGGTTGCTGTCGCCAGTGAGAGTATACAGCATTGACGGAGAAACTCACTGCGCAGAAGGCAGAGGATGGTCGGGCCCATGGTGGTATCTGTGCGCTACATTACGTTCGATCTTCCATCCATCCATCCATTGTAACTTTACTGCCTACCAACGTCGCGGAGCGGACAATGCCAAGGATTCAGGGCATCGCGGGCCGACTTCAACCAAAGAGAGAGAGAGAGAGAGAGATGGAGCATTCCAAGATACACGTCATTCTAGCGACAAGTGAAGCCAAGTATGGCACTGGAACAGGCAAGCTGCATGCCTACCTGCAAAGCTATCTTCTAAACCCTCTCTTGGAAATCTTTAATGAGAGTCCGGCGATCTGCGTCGCTTCGCACGCCCATGGTGTGAATCCCTGGGCTTGGGAAACTCAGGCTTAATGTAGGGCCTTGATAAATAATTAGAATAGGGTTTTGGGGTATCTTATACTCTAAGTAATTATAGTAAGGAAACCCCAAAATATTATGGGTAAATATTATGGCCCTATATTGCTTGATTGCTTGACCCGCAAACTCATTTGTGACTCTACTCCGTCCCTCACATCCGCCAAATTCATCTGCTCGTAGTCTGTCTGCGAAGCTTGTGGCGTGCAGTCTCAGGTCGTCACGATTCCATTTTTGAATCACTGCCAAACCTGCCGAGAACGTTCTCCCACATTACAAGCGGCACCAACGTCTCCACGACATGTTTTCGCTACCACCTCTCTGTCAGGGGCTCCGCGAGAACAAGTTAACCCTGAAGTAAGAAGCCAACCCAAATGAACGGCGGCTGAGAATTATGAATCGGCTCTTCATGCAGAAGAACCAGCATAATTTCTACGCAGGAAAATCTGTGCCTGCAAGTTTGGCTCACTTAGAGCTTATCTTATTGATTGGACTGTCAGTTTCCGGCTTCACATGCGACACGACGAACAAAATGTTTCGCTGGCTCTCCTTGTCTCTTCATCTTCTGTCACCTGTCACCTGTCTGATGCTGGGCCCATGGACCATCCTGGCAGGACAGTCTATCTGACCTGTCTCTGTATCTCTGCTTCTGCGCTCTTGGTCTACATGTGTCTGAGTCCGTGTGCCTATGTCTCTTCCTGTGTTTATGTCTGCGATGCTTGAGCATAACATGAGCCGTAAGAATGGGCACCACACATTGAAAGCACCCGCTACGTACGATTAACGATGGGCACCAAGTGATCCGCTATCAACCTGGAAACAACCAGACTCAACAACTTCGACTACACAACAGCACTCGTCTGACATTTTCGCACCTCGCCTCGCAGCTAGAAAACTTACTCCACTGGGGTTCAATGCCAATCTGAATGACATGCACCACCACACAGACTTCTGTCTTGAAACATCGCGCAGCTAAAGAGTTATGACATGCGCCCCCCAACCCTCTAATAATGAGAAAAGGAAAAACACGCGCCAAAAGCAAGATCTGAAGACTCAGGTTGGCCTGGTCCCAAGCGTGCGGACTCGGTGCGACGAAAAGCGAGAGGGAGTCACAACTTGCTGTTGAGGGGTTAGGGCTTAGTGTTTCCATCCTACCTTACCATTCTGCAGGCCTGGCTTGGGTTTGCATCGGGGTTGGAGGGACGAAGCTGGTCTTAAACCTGGCACAGTACATTCATGTATATTTAATACAGTTAAGGCTTCTGACGCTATCTCTACAAACCTGAGCTATAAACCCTAAGCTCTCTAAGCCTTGTACTCAGACCCGAAACCTCATCTTCGGGTTCGGGGGGGGCGTCGGACTTCGGGACCTCACCAGCCGCCGAATCGAAGTGCTCAGAATGATACGGATTACCAGTTCCATATTCATCACACGACTAAGCATAAACTTTACCACAAAGAAAGCACAATACTTTAAACCCTAAACCCTAATAGTTACTACTAGAGTTGCTTAATTACTGGTGATGCTTAGGGCTGAGGGCTCTGTGGGTGTTGAGGATGGAAAGGATCTCAGGCAGGCCGAGTCAGAGCCAAGGTGCCTAAAGGTGCGCAGGATCGTGGAAGTGCCCTAATATGGGGGACATAAATAATTTGGGGGGCTCCTTATTATAGTTATAGCATAATATACACCAAAAGCCCGTTCTAATTCATAGGCGCCTACATTATAGTTTTATAGACTATAGAGATTCACGGATACTCGAGGAAGCGCTGAAGAATCAGTCACGAAGAGCCCGTACAACCTCGAAGTGGTCCTAGCGACGATCTGAACCGCAAGTTAAACAAAAACTATGCCGGCCCCAAATCTACCCCTCGAAACAAAAGGAATCTGCAGCAGATTGATGCAGAGGGTGTACACTGAGACACCGACGCCATTTCGCTGCGTCGCCGCAAGACCGGGCAAACTTCCCGACTTGGGCGGTGGGCCGTTGGAGTTCTGGTCGGGATATTGGGGGTGGTTGGGGCTGCGGTTCTCAAAAAGATTGACAGAATTGTGGGTGACTGAAGTCGGCAAAGCCAAAACAGCAACAAATGCGAAGACCCTGGCACTGTCCCCGTACTTTTTCCCCAAACTCAAAGTTGAAAGCCCAAGAAGGAGGCTTCTCCTTGCTACATATCACAACCGGTCGCAACTCTGCACACTTCCCACGCACCCGCGAACAAACCCTTAACCCTAAACAACAAACTCCAAACCCTGTACCCCAATCCATAAAAGCTCGATAAGCAAGCCCCATGAACGTCTCGATGAAGACCCTCGACAGCCCGTAAGCCGTGACTTTCAAGCAAGCCGAAACTTCTCGAATCGTGTCGTGTAGTCGAGCTTCAGGCGGCATGACAGCATTCAGTTGTTCAACTATGTCTACAGACATACCTCTCCATGCAACTACCTAAAGCCTGTCTCACGACCGAGTGTTTTCTAAGCGGTGCCAGAAGGTGTAAAGCCTTGAGCGACCAAGGCACCTCTGCAAGAGCCCGTTCTGCCGCTCGAGCCTTTCGCCGAGCACGCAGCACCTGCCAGGGTGTGCTGCAAGGTGACATGCGTCAAGCGCAGGTGCCCCGAAGACGGCAAACTTTCTCGCCAGCTGGGAGAGGTGCTTTTAAGATCGAACCGCCTAGACTTGCCAGCACGGTGTTGAAAAGGTCCCACACCTAAGGCCCTAACCGGACAGCTTCCAACATCTGCTCTAAAAGTTCATATCAGGGGTGAAAACAAGTACCACCTCCATCGCCGGACTTCCTCTGACTGCGGGGCTCTCCGCCTGGCCAATTCGAGTTCAGGGGAAACGATTCATGATTCAAAGTAAGTAAAGCGGTTTGGGCCGGTATGGGGTGTAGAGGTTTAGGATTTAGGACTCGGGGCCTTTGGACTTCGGGTTTTGGGATAAAGGATATACCAGGCCTACTCGGTTACGCTATATTTAAACGATGTTTATAAAAGGAGCCAAGTTTCCTGAAGTGTCAAAGGATCTGTGCCATCTAGGGTTGCGAAATTTTGTTGATTTCTGCCGCATAAGGACATTTCAGGCCATTCGGTGGTTGTTCAACAATCTGGCACGTTGGATTCGAACTCACCACTCAGTGTCTCAAGAGCCACAACGCACATCCTTGTCACGGTGTGGAAGCCCTTGCCAACCGGAAGATGTAGGCCTGTAGGGGTTTAGGGTTTAGGGGTTTAGGGGTTTAGGGTTTAGGGTTTAGGGTTTAGGGTGTAGGTTGGGTGGCTTCATGTAATGTAGGGGCCTTAATTAATAGTTTCAATAGGGGTTTTGGTGTATATGATACGCTAATTATAATTCATACGACGAAATAGTATTGGTAATCATTCAGGCCGCTATATTATATAGTACCTTCTTTTCCCAAGCAACAGTTTGTTCAAAGTTGCTGTTGGTCGAACCTCCCCGAATCTCAACAGCCGAGTGCTTCTTTGAAGGCACGCTGTGAGTCCCTGTTGGCACGCGCCGATTTGGACCAAACAGGTGGGGCACCGTAGTTTTCACGTTCAACTTGGCTTCAAGGTTGAGACTTTATATAACGCAACAAAACTTAGAACCTTCTTATTATGCATGCTGCAGCTCACAAAATTGCTGCGGCAAGAGTTCCAGACCGCCGACAACAACCCCGAACTCTTAATGTTTCAATGCATGTGATTTCCCAAGACACATGCAACTTGCTTCCTGACGCATACTATTTTTTGCTACGGTAATACTGGAGGCAGCCTCCACATCACGCCTCACCTCAGATACAACAACAACAACAACAACCGTCGCCTTTCCCCGTCTGAAGGTTTCATCGCCGAAAACGATGAAATCCCGGCCGTTCCTGGCGACCAAGGGCTGGAGCATTTTCATTATTTTGCCGTACGGCGAGTTGGCTTCTTTAAGGGAGTTGCCTCTGTGAGTTTAATAAAAAGCGAGAACGGAACAAAGGATTCGTAGCATGCAACTAAGCAAACTCGTCGGCTTAAGGTCAGAAGAAGGACGTGTAGCGCCGCCGCAGAGACGCGAATCTGGGCCGAGCACCCGCCGGGAGTCGCATTGTTGTTGATCAGCCGTAAGCCTGAAAAAACATGATGGACCTGTAGTCTCCATTGTAGTTCCTGTTTGGGGATACCTTATCAAATCCTTAATATATCATTGGTTAAACCAAAAAAAAGGAAGTACATTGGAGACTATAGGGAGGCTCGACCGAAAACTGCTACTGCACATTGGCCTATGGTTTTGCACTGCGCGCCGCTGTTCTTATTCCCGAAAAGTGCATATTTCAGTCGCGAGACACCAACCTGAGATACAACTTGCCAAAGGGAGCCTTTTCAAATCGTACTGAAGCCATGACTCTAAACTCAACTCTCCGGTGGGATCATCCTCAGGGCTATCAATCCCAATTCTCAATCAACTCATGTTCCAGGTAGCTGGGAAAACACTCTTGTGGCATGGGCAAAACAAGCCATGCAAACCAAGCTGCCATAGGCCGACATGGTATTCACACAATCGAAGTGTAAGTAACAATGCACTTGCTGTAGCGTCGTGAAGCAACTGGAGCTCTTGGAAAAATCTTTCGGCTGATACCTCGAAATGCCATGTACATTGGCAGAACCTGCATTTGACGTTCTGGAGCCCATTGCGGGACAAGCGCGAACAATTGCAACAAACTTTACGATCTGTGCTGCCTGGCCCGCTCCACTGGCAAGTGCTGCAAGATGTTCTGTCGAACAATCAGGTAATCCTGTAGCTTCAACTGAGCAGAATTTCATGCACATCGGCACCTGTGACAGAACTCCGTGCCGTGCCGTTTCAGCTAAGCCCATCCTGAAGCCGCTTGGTCAGGAGAATCTAGACAATTTTTGGGCTGACCCCCCCCCCCCCCCCCCCCTCCGGTCAAATCACAGAAAGGAAACATGACTCAACTGCCAGTCCCATGATAATCCCTTACTGTCCCGAAGTGTCATGCAAGTGGGACGTCTCTTTTGAAGCTGCAGTGCGGCGCACTCAAGAACGTGAGGCTCGTGAAATCTACGTGCTGCCAATCGAAGTCTTGCTTGCCTGTATCTTCCCCACATGGAACCTCTCGGCCTACACCAACAAACCGCCTTGCAACCGAGCGAAGTGAGATGAACTAGTCATGAAGCTTGCTGGAACCTGTATGTGCTTGACATGAGATAGGGACTGCACTTCCCAAGAGCACCGTGGCGTCACTTCGAGGCGCGAAGATAGAATGCCGTGCGGTCCTGCGCCGAAGTTCGAAGGAATTCAAAATCATGCGCGCGCCTGAATGCCATGCTCGGAGACATCCGGGCGATGCTGATGTTGCTTCAGCAGCGACTGTAAAGCGCTTGTGGGTATGATCAAGTCAGCACTATGTCGGTGACGAGGGTGCATCGATCAGCAGGGTGAAGATAGAACTACAATTCCCACGAAGCCCCTGCTCAGCCATTAAGGGTGAAATGAGCAAATGGATCAAGATCACGAGGCATACTTCCAAGGCAATTGGGTCTCGATTAGCACCTAGTTGTGGGCGCAGGGTCCAGAGATGCCTACTTGGAGGTTCATGGGCAGTTATTAGTGGGGTTAGTCCCCTAATAAGGTTATAATTATAGTTAACCTACTTATAAGCCTACTTATAACTACCCATGAACCTCCAAGTAGGGAATATCCCTGCAACCCTACATTATCATCTCGACGCTTCGCCCGCCTTTTTCCAGACCGCAAGTGCAGGCTGAACGAGTGGCCATAAGCTAAACTAGCTAAACATCCGTCTTCAGCACAGAAGATGTGCAATGTATTCTTTCGCCAAGTGCTGACTGACATTCTGCATATGAACAAATACGTAGCACTCATACATGCTCACATTTCTCTTGATAGTATATGTTGACAGATCTTTTTTGTGGACCGTATACATATGTCTCTGACTCCAGGGACGCCCACGCTCAGAAATGCCTTCCCCTCACAGCACTTGGCAGCTTCATGCTGTAACAGTGACCATCTGGGCAGCCAACTCCTGCTCAGAGTCGGATCCGGACATCGGGGGTCGGTCAAGCCGACTTGTGATGCAGGATCTGAGGCTTTGGGTTTAGGGTTTGGGCTGCAGGTCAGTGAACGCTGGGCTATCGCTCAGCATTTTTGGAGAACTTGCGACTTGCGTGATCGGCACCCGGAGTCCGGACCGAGCACAGAGCGGAAGAGAACTCAGGCCTTTAGGGTTTAGGGTTTAGGGTTTAGGGTTTAGGGTTTAGGGTTTAGGTTTAGGGTTTAGGGTTTAGGGTTTAGGGTTTAGTGCAAAACGAAGGATCAGACCGACAAGACTACAAACATGCGCACGTATTATTGTGTACGTACATGTGTACTTGTACGAACATGTAGAGATATATGCATGCATACACGCACACGCACACGTGCATAGTACATGTGTATGTATATATATATATAGAGAGAGAGAGAGAAAGAGAAATAGATTAATGAATAAATAACAACTATACATATATATATATATATATGATTATATATGTATACATGTGTAGATATAGAGTCCGGTATAGATGTCAAACCTGGGTCAAACCTCTGTATCCATGTCCATATCGGTATACACATGAAGCATAGAACCTGTTTGGAACTAGCAGATTCTGCAGCGGAATGCGTAGTTCAGGCCTGAGTCAGCACTTTTTCCGCTGCCATGATGCAAGCAAGGAATCAGGAGCTCTGTTAGGGCATATATACCCATAGGCCCCATAGTAGTTCTTTTTTGGGGTTCATATTTAGAATCCTAGAAAGCAATCCCAAAAAGGAACTACTATGGGGCCTATGGGTAGGGGGTTGGGAGTTTGGCTTAAGTCGTACATACCCAAATGCAACGGCTCCTTGCCTTCATAAACCTGAAGAGCCAAACTCCCCTTTCCAGCCTTTCGTCACGAGTACTTGGAGGTTCATGGGTAGTTATAAGTGGGGTTATAAGTCCCCTAATAGGGGTTATAATTATAGTTGCCCTACTTATGACCCTACTTATAACTACCCATGAACCTCCAGGTACCGGCGGTGTCCTCGGCTTTATCTTTGCCATAGAGCTGCTCCACAATCTTCAGCGCGAACTGCAGCCTTCCATGCGCTGATTCCGGAACACACGAATCCCGTTGATGCTATGCTAGAATGACTTACCTTCCATCGGCACGGAACTTACCCTCTATGCAGGTGCACACCTGGGGTTCTCTGAATGCACCCGAACCTGGCTGATACATTCCACGAGCGACACGAGTGATGTGGCCACAGGCACGGTCGAAATTCGGCATCTGGCTCCAGCAAACGCGTGACGAACGCAGCTGAATCTAGACTAGACGATAAGCCTGATGCCTTCATCATGCCGTGATCAACCCTAGACAGGGTTTTCTTCTGGATGAAACAGCGATTGCGGTTGGAGGTTCATGACAAGGGTTTGCAACAGCTGTGCGACATGTGTATGGCTTTCTTAAATTTGCGCATCCTAGACGGGGCACAGAACCTGAAATCAACTGTCGTGCTTGTGTGAGGGTCATTGTCTTGGTATTGTAGCGTAGCGTAAGGCTCAAGCAGTAGCACTCATCAGCGGGCACCGTTCGATCAAGCACTGGCTGCACAAAAAGCATGTAATCATGGTTCAAGCCAAGATTTGCCAAGAGGCGAAGTCCCAGGACCTTGACTGGTAATGACGTTGCCATCCACCACCGCCTACTTTTGTTGACGCCGCGGGATTGGGGGCTCGAAAAAAGCCACCAGTGATCTATTAACGGTATTAGTAACTATAAGTACAGCGGAGCTCTGTAGATAGCCAAGAACACCTGGACGCTCAACACGAGATCGCAACATCTGGCACCCTAGACCCTCACCCCCCCTCCACCCCGCGGGTGGGGGCCGACCACGCACATCACCTCGCGTTTGACATCCTCTGCCCTTCCCCTTTCTGAAAGCCCAAACAGTGGATCGAGCACACGGCCAAATCCACAGTCGTCACATCGTCCTCGAGAAGATAGACTACAGGATAAGTGGATTCGCTTTGAAACCCTGCCCACGGGCCTTAGCATCCTTCCACCCAGCACCTACCAGTTCCTTGAACTGCGGTGCTGGATAGCCTCGATCTGGCTTGAGGCTTTTGTTTGTTCGGCTGTAGAATCGCCCGAACTGAAAAATCTCTGCCCATCAGCTGGGGAAACAAGAACCCTAAACCCCTAAGCCCTAAACCCACTAGCTCAGAAATTACTGGAAGGAGAGCCGAGGTACAGGTGGCCGCATCCTTCACCAGCCCATGGTGTGCAAACACCACGGCTGGACTGGCGCAAACAGCCGCGGTGAGTCGGCCGCTCTCTTTCTGTGCCTTCGTTTGGAGAAGCTATATAGACTATGATGTACTGCCATGGTCCATTATATACTATACTGTACTATAACATGCTTTAACATACTATCATATACTACAGTATATATATATATATATATACACTGTCATATACTTGAATATACTACGATATACTATGTTATGGCACCATGTACTACAATATATTATAATTCTACTCTCTCTCTCTCTCTCTGCCGTTGCATCCAGAGGGTCATCATAAAATCATATACAAAATTTTACTTAAATATAGAAACCCTACTAGCCCGACTATATTATGCTTCAGGAAGAAGAACGGAGGTCTGAAGGTCTGCAGCACCGGAATACAGAGATGAGCTTCGGGACTCTACGTTTAGGGTTTCGGGTTTAGGTCGGGCTTTACCAGTGCATGGCAGGAAGCTATCCCACAATGTCATTTATCATGTTGAAGGTAATGCCAAACATGCTGTGGTCACCTGTGGGTTTCTCATCTGATGAGCGGCAGCTGCGATGCTCCAATCCGAAAGTCCGCATACATGATAGCTCCATGCCTCAATCTTGTGGGATTCCCTGTCCCAGAAGACCTAAAATTCATTCAAGCCAATCGTTGCAAGGCCACCTCATCTACAGACGCAATACCCCCTTCACATGCGGGTGTATTGTGTCTGGTTTATTGGAATGAACTAGAAGCAGCGATACTAACATGGGAGCACATTTGACTCCGGGTCCCACCTCCCATCAACGACACCTGCAGAATCACCCGTAAGCCTGAATAAAACGCAACTCTGAAGGCCCTGAAACCAACAAAGATGGCCTTGAGCAAGTCCACCAGAACCTGCGAGTCGCGCAGATGTTCAGCTCCTGGCATACCACCTGCGGTTTAGGTTGACAAGTTTTCACGTGCTAGGGTGTTGACAGTCACACTCGAATGGTCGGTATAACTGTCTAGGTTTTACGGCTGTTTGGTTGCGACTCTCACATCCTGTCAACTGTAGCTGCATTGTCCAGTAGTTACACTCGACAGCGCATCTCACGCAATTTGATCTGACGGACGACACCCTCAACTACGGAGTTCTCCACCAGCAATGGTCGCTTCCCTCAGCCACCTACGCCCAAGCCAAAAAAGCCCAACCGTAAGAGTGGCCTAGCCCATTCGACAGAGTGAGACTAGTCCCACTTGCCAAATGCCTTGGCATATTGACTGCTTGAGGCTGATTAGTGTCATGCTTCCGCGGTTGGGAGATTAACTTTCGGCCAGAGATGCAGCGAAGAAAAATATCGGGCCACGGCTACAAAGCATTCCATCGCCTCTTGCCGGTGTCACTCCTGTAGCCCTGTGATCGACCCGGCTTGTCTGGTGAAAATCGCCCCAAACATACAACAACAACCGCCTGATCCAGTGCAATTTTCAACTACCTTTTGTTCACAAGCCTGTTGGGCAACAGTGTGGCCCACACCACCCACCGGCCCTGTGCAGCTATGCAGAAGTCATTCAGATCCCCCCAGCCCGAGCTGGTAGGCCTGGTAGGGCGATCACATCCCATTGCTGGTCCTCAGGAGCGAGATTATGGGGCTTCTGGCTCCAGGAGACAACTGGGCTACATTGCGGCTGTAGCGCTATGGGGTCGTAAAGCTCACCTGGACGAAACATGTACAGGATTTGGAGCTGCGAATTTCGGCACCAAGCCTTATGATCCTAAGGTGTTTGACCACGAACGTGACCCTCAACGCACTATAGTCCCAAACCGCAAGCTCAGGATAGCCTTATCTGGCATGAACAAACTCTCCCCAGGGTTTAGGGCTCCATGCCGGCTCTACAAGGGTTTTACTCGGGCATTCACAAGGTTTCCAATGATGGTTCTATGTGGGCTTTGATGATAAGAGCTTTATTGGGCTCCATACTGGGCTTAGAAGGGTTAAGGAGCCAAGACTCGGCACACTCCTCGATGCTCGTGTCCGCGACCACCTTCCTTGGTTTGTCTCTCAGCTTCAAACTTGAACTTGGCTTCGCAGCCTCACCTGGACCCTCGATGAGGAATTTTCTTATCAGGAACCCTCAACATGCAGGCTATTTGGGATTCAAGCAAAACGTGAGATCTTCATCCTCTAGATGCAACTAAATCACAGTCCCCTGGACATGCGCACCTGAAGCGCGCCGCTGACACTCGCCACAGTCACATCTGCTCCGGCTCGGGTGAGTACGTCGGTGATGCAGGCCGTCTCGATTTCCTCATGATCTGTTATCTTATGCTATGTTCTAGATCGCATAATATGAAATTTAATTATTGTCACGACAAGAAGCGCCCAAACCTAAACCCAAACACTCAACCCTGAATCACACGCCACAAGCATGTAACAGAATGATCCCAAGCTCTCCGTCTTGGCTGAACAAGAGCTCCGACAAGTAAAGTTTGGCCTTTAAGGTCAGGAGACCTCGGAGTCCTCTGCGATGGGCACCAGTACCCGGTAAGGAGCTGTTGCGGTCTCTGCATACCGTCGGGTCCACTGCCGCTGTGGCTTGGGCCAGGACCCAGCGAAAGCAAAGGTGAAGGGGGCCAGGCGTACCCCTAAGAGGCAAGCCGCGGATGCGACGACGGCAGCATGGCGCACCCTTTGGTGCCGTCGGCTCTGCGAGAGCATGGCCCCTCGAAAGGCCTGGCCTATGCCAGGCATCTTGCTAAGCTGATCCAGCTAAGTGGCGGCGGTGGTGCCGGGGCGCAGACATAGCATGAACAGAGTTGAACGCGCAACCCGTACACAGAGCATCAACAACTGAACTGCATGATCGATATACTCCGATCCACAAGGACCTTTACTGGCTCGCCATAGGTGCAGAGAAGGGGAGCCGAAATCCCAACACCCCCAGCACCAACCAACAGCGATTCTACCCCCTTTGCGGTCCTGGGCCCTCCAGTTCACCACAGGGTCGCGCCAGGTGAGCGGGTAGTCCGCATCCTTCAGCTCTGAAGGCTTCTTTTTGACTGCAAGGATTTCGGACGTCCGAAGTTGAGCTTCCAAGTTTGCATGGGGCGTCTGCTTACGGAGCTTCTGGATGGGCTTGCATGTTCTTGTCGCGCCTGCAAACTGGACGCTCTTCTATGCCTGCCGAAAGTGCTCGTGAACATATGCCATTTGCACAGCGCATAGCAACGGCAGCG